AGCTTAATTAAGAATGAATAACATTATTAAATATATATATATATATATATATTATTGCAATATTTTGAGCAATGTTATAAGCAATATAAGTGTCTACGTTCCCCGCGGTTTTTGGCGTTGAAGCGGGACATAATTTTTTCGCCCACTTTAAGGAAGGGCCCTAAAAGTTGCGACGTCAAGGCCCACTATTAATCCAAGTTCTTCGGGACGGTTTTCAGTTCGAGGACGGCCTTAGGACGGCTATAGGACGGTCTTAAAACGCTCGAAAACGGTCTTAAGACGGTTTTTATACGAAAAGACGAGCATTTCAATAGACGATTTAATCGAATACAATAGTTCTATTTTGGCCATGATCTAAATAATTCAAATCGTTTGTTTTCAAATTCTATTCAATCTTAAGTATCGGCCTAGGGTGATCCACCAGCCATGCTAACCTATTAAAATCGTCCCTAACAGAGATGGTTATCAAACGATCAGCTGACCGTCTAAAAGCTCCTGCATTCCCCTTTAAGGTATGTCTTTTCAGTCTCAAAGGATGTAAGGAGGCCCACCTAAGCGAGCCGACGAATAGCCTTTTTAAAGGCGGTGCAAGCAACTGTCTCTCTAGCACTCAATTCATAATAATAGCCTTTATCGGCGCGATGCAGCCAGCTGTTCCTCGAGCATTTAATCCATAGAATAACCCCCTTCAACGCGTTGCAGCCAGCTGTCCTTCGAGCATTCTATTTAAAGCCTTGCTTTGATACTAGGTTGCATATTACACACACACAAAGAGAGAGAGAGAGAACGACACATATTCAGGACAAACAGTATACAGCATTGCGGGCGCATCACCAAATACATGACGTCGCCTTCACTCTTCTCTCGATGGACAGGAAGTTGCAGAAGGCCATTGATACGGAGAAGCCGCACTGACTAAGCAAGAGTCTATAAGCCATTTTCTAAGTTACTTTTGCAACCTTTTCCGCCAATCAGCATAGCTGTTCTCTCATCCAGAGACCAGCGTTCCACACAGAAGATGACCCTCACGCCCAAACGCCACCCTACCAGCCATTTTACATCCAGAGTGCCGCCCACCCGCTTCAAGGACAGAAATCAGATTTGAGATCATGCACTTGCGTCTATCACAAGACACCACGGTGAAATGTTAGTACACAGTTGGTTTCTCGGGGCTACCACGGAAAGCAAGAGGAGATTGTGGCGCCTTCGGCGGGAGGGCGGTCAACTTTTGGGGATCCTCGTGGCCATTCATGGCTACCGGGTCGTTCGTAGAGGAAGAAGCTGGCTGAAGATTCTCCTTGGTAGCCACAGCAGATGCAGCATGAGGACCTTCCGATGACGATAACAGGCCAGAAGTGCTATTTGTCGTGGCTGGAAAGAGGGCTTTAGTAGCATCATTTTCTTTTCGGGGTGAGATTTTTAGCTTGACAGTTCTCTTTCGCTCCGGTGTTGGGGTCTTAATGGACAGCTTGACAATCAACTTCTTCGGCTCTTCATGCAGGTCCTCGTTTTCATCTTGATCAGAGAGGTCATCTTGATCGTCAACATCGCTTTCCGAAGGCACGTCTTCTTCCTCGTCATCGCCATAGTCTTGCTCGCTAGCGTCACCCTCCTCCTCAGAAGTCATCTCATCCACGCTGTTGTAGCCCGAAATTTGACGACCTGATTTGCGATTCGAAGCCTGTCCATTAGTAGCGGCAGCTCTTCGAGGTGGTCGGCCTCCGTTGCTCTCTGCGTAGCTTGGCTCGTCAGTCGCTCCATCAAAGCCAACGGCACAACCAGTACTCATTCCGCTCAACATACTCTCACCGTAAGCACCACCAAGGCGTGACTTGACTTGGCGCCCGCTTTGAGTGATGGTAGGGCCACTGGGTTCCGCTGGAGTGTGGGTTCCGGTGTTGCGAGTAGATTTGCGGGCAGCAGTAGAGTCCGAGCAGACCTCGTCCTCCTCGTCCGAGTAGGTATACTTCATCCTCTTCCCTCTAGTTCGGCCTTCGTACATAGAGTAGTTCGGCTCTGGTCGCTTGAATTGCTGTTTGCGAGTCTGGCGATATTCACGACGCTTGCGCTTCTATTGTCCGTATCAATATTGTAGACTCAGAAGTCTTGATGGAGACGCATACCTCTTCAGTAGCCTCGAATCTAGGGATAGCAGCCATCATCTTTGAGCTCAAAAGCCTAGCCTTCTGACCACCATCCTCGTTGGCGAGCTTTTCTGCTAAAGTCTTTAACTGATCGATATCACCAGCAACACTCCACCAAGTTCTCTTGATGTCAGTGTAGTCGCTCTCACGGTAAACTCTGAAATGTGTATCATCAAGACCCTCAATCAAGAAATATCTGCGCTTATAGCTATCAGAGCCCCAAGGTTGTACGGAAAGCGGTTGGTTGAGATCGTCCTCATGGCGATTCTGCTTGTAGGAGGCTTGGATTGTACTCTTAACGGTGTCGGAAGAGGCAAGAGACCATAGAATTAGAGTTCGTAGAAGGGTGAGCTACGCATAGCGGTTAGCAAATGATGATCCATCTTCAGCAGACTTCCTTACTCGCTCGGTGGGTGCCATGGAAGCAAATGTAGTCCCTCCAGATAACGGGTTCTTGCTTTCCCAGTCCTTGGCCCATTGTGATTTGTGTGTTTGAATAGCCTCCTCAAGCGCGCGATTATAATGTCCGGACCTGGTTTGGAAATTGAAGTCAGTGTCTGAAGCTTTGTGTCTGCCACCCACTCCGAGCAAGGCTACCTACTTAACATCTTGCTTTCTATTTAGCAAGAGACCAAGGAGCGCGCAAAGAAAATGCTCAACACCCTCTCCAGGAACAGTATCTACAATATCGCGCTCGAGCTCTTGGGGACCGAAGTTGACGAGGGATTTTGGGAAGGCTTCGGTAAACCGCGAGCGGAACATGCATATAAACTGCCATGTGCGCGTTAGCAACAATTCCGGCACAGAGCCACGCGTTTTGAACGTGTAAAGCCTGCGAGAACGCGAAGATGGGCAGATACACGTACTGCAATATCAGGATTATCTGCGAGCACGAACTCATGAGGAGGTGAAGGCGCGCGCTGCTGTCGGGGCGGCGAGTCGGGTTCGACGACCTAAGGCAATGGACTCATCAGCATTCTTGTCCACAACTTCAGGGACTCTTCAATGTGCTCCGAAGCTATCGTGGGTATCCAAAATAGGTCTGCGATTCGAATCGAACCAGTCCGATGGATCAATTCGTTTCGAGGGGCTGGATAGTGTCAATTTACCTTGGATGGTGCAGGGCGGGGAGCTTTAGAGAAGAATTTCAGGATACCATCCTTTTTCTTCAATTGTAGCTCTTTCTCCACGTCTGAAGGAACATCGGACAGGTCTGAAGAGTCGTCGGAGCTCATTTTCGACGTTTTGGTGGGTGTCGAATTTTGGGGTTGTCGCTTTTGGAGGAATGAAGTCAGAGAGACTTTGCCGATAAAAGGCGGCAACGATCAGGCTAAGCATTTCTATGTCACGCATCTCTTTGGTAACATGATGGCCTAATAAAGACGACTAAATCAGAGTGAATTAGAGCACCTATTCCTTCGGATATTGGTGTGACTCGACATCACATCGATATGTCAAGAGCATAGGTAGTTGTAACCGGATATCATCCCTTTTAGTGTACATTATTCCAATATTGATCTGCGATGTATTCATACAACGTACCCAGGGCAACATTGTAGCTTCCGTCCTCCCGCAGCAACACTAACGCCCTATCCCAGCCCCAATTCAACCTCCAGTTTAGAATATAACAAATCACCGAGATCAGGCATTCGCTTTACGCCGCTACTGGTCTCAGGTAGTGGTGAAAGAAAGCGAGAGCATAGAAGCTTTTGTGCTTTTCCCAGTTGGCTAAAGGCGCCCTGCCAGCGCATAGGTTCCCCAGCAGATTTTGGCATCGCTTGAAGGACTCGGCGTCGAATTCCTCGCATTCCTATCATGCAAAGCCATTCGTAGTTGTTTGAGAGGCCTCTGCACATCCGTATCATAGGTAGTCGACCACAGCTGTACTACTAGCCGAAGAACTATCCTGAATAAGTTAGAAGAATGGCAAAACCCAAAAGCGAAGACTAATGAGCCAATCTACGGTTCAATAAGAAGCACGGTGTTGAAATGGCAATATGTACAAGAAACGGTTCGGAAAGTTGCCCATCATCTGTCACGGCCGCAATAATAACAGGACTCTTGAAGGGTTGCCTCTCGAGATGACGTTAGCATCCAGAGGATAGTCCCCTAGACTACATTCATGGCCAATAACAACTTGGCGCCATGCAACATGTACAATTTTCCCGAATGGAAAACGACAACGACAACGAAAACGGAAGATTGTGACTTAGGTGATCGTAAACACGATTGAGTAATTTTGAGACCGAAGCCTACCGAACACTTGCAGGTTTGAACACCCAAGAAAGGTCAATACCGCATGCATGCCACCTTGCCGTCGCAAAATTGTGAGGCATTCGGCGACGATCGCAACAAATCATGTTCAAAGAAGATAAAGTGTTCTTTCCAAAGAAGCAATATTGAGGAGGATGGCCTCTGTGAACGTACACAAAACTCAAGAAGGTACAGGTGACGCAGGGAAAGGATTTGGAATCACAGGGGAACAAGAGATTTTAATACTTGCGAGGAATTCGTTGGAATGTAGTGTCGTGCTCCAGCAGGGCGACCAGACCGTAGATGGTTCTTGAAGCAGGGCTCAGCCCGCAAAGGATTAGTTACGATCGTAAATATAAATCTGCGATAAGTCCGAGGGAATACTGTGTTCGTGAGCCTATCTTGAATGGAATCTGACAAGAGTATGGCATTTGCATCATGGTACGGTCTTGAGCGTTGTGTCGTCGTCGTTGATTATGCTCGGCCGCTAGCGTAATCACGTGGAGAAATTCTCGTTTACACCCGCACACTCCCATTTGCATATTCCCGACTTTGGAAGGCTTCAATCCACGAAACTCAACCTCATTAACGACGACAACGGCAACGATGGGTCGGTAGGTGGTAACTTTTTAATTATTCTTCTAAGATCTGCGACTCTACGAAAACGAAGAGCATACCGACCGTGTCAGGTTGCTCGCAGGGACATTCTGGGCAGCTGTTTGAAGAGCTTTGGTGGACCGGAATTCGATGAGGATATACTGACAACGTTTGCAGCGTTATCCGAAACCAGAGAAAAGGACGAGGGTCTATCTTCACGGCCAATACGAGATTGAACAGTACGTGGAACTCCATCAGTGTTGACTTGGGCGGAAGGGAAAGAAATCCATTGCGGCGCAAACGCCCGAAGACCTCCACCAGCACACCATGTTTTAATGGAAACACTACTAATTATATGCTCTAGAGGCTCCTGCTCAGTTCCGTAACCTCGATTTCGCCGAGCGCAAGGGATATGTCCGAGGTGTACGTCTTCCTCTGGGGTTCCTGCTCAACTTTCAACCCGACCTCCGAATAAACTCCATCACCACCACCGGACACGCTCAGCTAACCCATAAACGCAGGTGATCAAGGAGATTATTCACGACCCGGGTCGAGGAGCTCCGTGAGTTTGCTCACAAAAGCCAAACATGAAGGTTGAATCTATACTGACTGTTCTCAAAGTCTCGCCCGAGTTGTCTTCCGCGATTCTTACCGGTTTAAGCTTCACACCGAGACCTTCATTGCTAACGAGGGGTACGGGTCCTCGAAAAATTTCGTCAATACATGTTAATAGTTGGCAGAATGTACACTGGTCAATTCATCTATGCTGGAAAGAACGCTGCCTTGACTGTCGGAAACGTCCTCCCACTCTCTAGCATCCCCGAAGGAACCGTTATCTCGAACGTTGAGAGCAAGGTCGGCGATCGTGGTGTCCTTGGACGTACATCTGGCAACTATGTCACCGTCATCGGCCACAACCCTGATGAAGGCAAGACCCGTGTCAAGCTCCCATCTGGCGCCAAGAAGGTTATTAGCAGCCAAGCCCGTGGTATGATCGGTATCGTTGCAGGTGGTGGACGCACAGACAAGCCATTGATGAGTACGTTCTGACAAAAACGTTTTATGCAAGAGGAATTTCTGACAGATTTTGCAGAGGCCTCGCGTGCGAAGCACAAGTTCGCTGTCAAGCGCAACTCCTGGCCCAAGACTCGTGGTGTTGCCATGAACCCCGTCGACCATCCTCACGGAGTACGTACTTCCAAGTCGAGATCAAATACAGATATTTTGCTAACCTTTATTAGGGTGGTAACCATCAACATATCGGTAAGGCCTCGACAATCTCCCGATACGCTGTGCAGGGTCAAAAGGCTGGTCTCATTGCTGCTCGGAGAACTGGTCTGTTGCGCGGTACTCAAAAGGTCAAGGACTGAGGTGCTTGTGATTGGTATTTTTTTTTTGCTTCGGATATGCTGGCTTCGCATTATATGTACCTTCGGGAGGAGCATATGCGTGGATGAATAAAAAACTTACAAAAAATATCTGAAATGTGGTCTATGACTTAGTGAGTCCGCGTGAGACTAGGTTGATTTCTGTCCACATTCCATCGATACTTCTCGACTCTTACTCATACCTCAGACGAAGTTGGGAGTGGATGGAAGCTGGGAGTAGATCATGCTTAATGAGAAAAAAGAACCTTTTGAGCCAGCGGAGGCGATTCGAATGCCCCAAGTTATCCCTACAATAACCCCAGTCCACATTCGAACGCAAATACATTGATTGTACTTCATAGGTATGCTATATGAGTTCGCTAAAAGCCAAGCATTGTAAGTAATACTGTCCCACGATTCGGAAACCCCGCCAAAGCTCATCGACCCCACCATCCCTTGAGCTCCCCGACATACATTCCCCTTCAATTCTTCAACAACCTTCCTTCTCAGTCCTTCAAGAACATCTAACAACCTCCAAAAAAATTCACAGAAAATAAGCATAGACATGGCTCCCATCAAAGAATACGCTCTTCTCTGCTTGGAGAACCCTCTGCTTGGTAAGGCATTTTTTTAATTGCAGAAAAGTTCTCTGTTGATACCCCTCACCTGGAAACCGAAATCCACTCCAAGTCCCATGCAAATTCCTCAATATTGCCATCTCATAAGCAGAAACTGACCTCTATTCTCACCTTCAGACATCCAAGCAGTCGGTAACGCAGCCCTGCTCGAGAAATACAACCTCAAACCCAATGATGCCATCCTCGCCGAAGAGAAGCACCTCAGCATCTATGACGACCTCCTGAACAACTACTCCGCCAAACTCATCGCGGGAGGCGGCGCCCAGAATACTGCCCGCGGAGCTCAGTACATGCTGCCGCCTAACAGCGTCGTCTTCCTCGGCGGCGTCGGCGACGACAAGTACGCCGCCATCCTGCACGACGCAGTCAAGGCCGCCGGTCTCCGCGTCGAGTACCGTGTCGATAAGACCCAGCCGACTGGCCGGTGTGGAGTTGTTATCACCGACCACAACAGATCCATGGTCACAGATCTTGCGGCCGCAAATCACTATGACCTCGAGCACCTGAAGAGCCCCGAGGTGTGGAAGCTGGTCGAGGGCGCTACCACCTACTTTGTCGGTGGGTACCACTTGACGGTGTGCCCGCCTGCGATCATGGCGTTAGCTGAGGAAGCCGCTGCGAATGACAAGGCTTTTGTGTTCTCGCTGTCTGCTCCGTTCATTCCCCAGTTCTTCAAAGACCCCCTTGATGCTACGGCGCCTTACTGGGACTACGTGATTGGTAACGAGACCGAGGCGTTATCTTATGCTGAGAGCCATGGCCTTGAGACCAAGGATATCAAAGAAATCGCGAAGGCTTTAGCTGCCTTGCCAAAGAAGAATGAGAAGAGGGAGAGAGTGGCTATCATTACCCAGGGTACTGAGCCTACTCTTGTTTCTGTTGGCGGCAAGGATGTCCAGGAGTTCCCTGTTCACGCCATCGATAGCAAGCTGATTAATGACACTACTGGTGCTGGAGATGCTTTCGCTGCTGGCTTCACTGCTGGTTTGGTTGCTGGGGAGAGCTTAGCTCAATGTGTTGATCAGGGTCAATGGCTGGCTAAGTTGAGTATCCAGGAGTTGGGTCCTTCGTAAGTTACATTCCCTTTGTCTCAATTTGCGGCATCACATATTGCACACACCAGTTCCAGGAAAAATCTATTTCGAAGAGGCTAGCTACACCCCTCAACCTCATCTCGATATCCCACCAACAACATCCTCAATCCCCAAGATGCTGACAAACAAATGTGCAGATTCCCATTTCCCAAGCAGGCGTATAAGCCATCCAGCCAATAGACGACCCAATTTTCTTTTCGATTCTCACCTTGAGATTTTAGACGGCGTTCAAAGGAGAAAAAGGTTTCAACAACAGGAGCGTCTAAAATCTGGTGATTTAGCGCCCTTATATGATGAGATAACCCATGGTGATCCTCCACGATCATAGCATAGATAGCTGGCATTGCATTCAAATGAGTTGAAGGTCCTTCAACACAAAGTCTCCTTGTGGTAGTGACTGGCTCGGTATATCGCAGTATTGCCGATGTCTGACGGTGATGCCTCAAAGCCCATCCTGTCAGTTTAGGATCTTTTGGGTAAGACCGAGTCCGACACAGGCAGTAGGTACGTGAAGCGCACTTCGCGTTGGTACAGTAATTGTCGATCCGCATCTGCTCAACCGCCTTGACCGCCTGGGGGGGTTTGGCTGTATCCACCAAATTGCTGACTGCCGGTCCAGATAGAACTTTGAAGCATCGTATCTCGGTCAAAGGCACTGGCACCAGCGTAAATGGCGGAGTCGGCGTTCACCATCCCAAACATGCCATTTCTCACACCCATGACACCGTTCCGAACTGGAGGCGGAGTATTTACATAGATACTGCTCGAATCGGAGAATCCAGACGACATGTACTGCTGGTTGAGGGATTCCTGGAGTAGCTGATTGACAGATTGAGCCACCGAGCCAGAGGCTGGTCGGGGTCTTTGTCGTGCCCATGTAGTGTTGGCTATTCTTTCATCAAGACCTTCGTCCAACTGCCTGGATACTGACTTGTAAGCCCCTGTGGAACCTACAAGTGACGATTGACGGCCCCAAGACGTGGTTCGACAACTTGAATACCCAGTGGCAACCTCTAAAGCGGCTGCAGCTTCTAATTGCTGTTCTCTTGTAGCTAAAGGGGCTGGAGAGTAGGAATATCTCATGGGACTGGTTAGCTTTAACTCGTTCGGCTGAGGAGCGAAAGCACTGTCTTGGAAGCCGGGCATGCTTGGCAACATCTTGGGCGATGAACGAACTTGCCAGTCATAGCCGTTGGATCCAGTAAGCGCGAAGATCTCGTTAGCAGTGCGGCTACCCATACCATAGGAGGTTTCGTCGTTTGCGTGGACTGTGCCGCTTGCTGATGAGTCAACGAGCCCGTCAACCATTCGAAGCATATCGTTTTCCATGCTGTGATGGGCATCGTATGTGCTTACAGCGTCTCGGACACCGCTGTGGTGCGAACCATCTAATTCTCGTGGCGAGAAGGCGCTTTTGCTGGTTTGGGTTGGGGTTGGGGTTGGGAATACGGAGGACTCAGCGGTATTCGGCGGGCTGGCCACCCCCTCAACAAAGTGAAAGACGTTCCTACCGTTGCTTTGGCTCAGAGTAATTGGAAATTGAGGTTGCATGTGGAAAGTGAGGCTGATGCACAGGATATCCTGGATCCTAGACTGCATCTCGACACTTGGGTGGTGTCTGTTAATACCTTGGTCGGAGTTCCGTGGCTTGGACTCGCCGGCAATATTCTTGAAAACATCACATCCTTGTGGAAATTTGAAGCTTCGGAGAGGTTCAAAACCAACCGTAGACTCGTCTTCTTCTAGGAGGTACCCAACCGATGCCTGATTCCCAGAGAAGCGTTCGCCAAGTCTCGTAGAAACATTAGCAAAAGCCTTCCACATCTCGTTGATTTGAATAGCAATGGCGTTACTGGCTACTACTGGCGCAGACAGAGCCATGAGCCACTTGTTGTTGGCCATGACCCACGTGCTATACTGGCGGATGGCAGGAAGAACTCTCCGAGCAATAGCGGTGATCTTGTCGTTTTCGCGCTCCGACCGAGATCCACTAGGTCCGTTGGGAATATCTTCGCCTGTTGGCTCGTCTTCGAGTTCGGGGAGTAGAGTTTGCAGAAGGACGGTGAAGAAACGAACATTGAACCGGATGCAAAAGTTGTAAGAGTTGAGTGGGACCTCTTGAGACGTCTCGGTTGCTTGTTGGAATCTGGCATAAGCAAAATGTTGAGCGGCAATGTTGACAATCACCAATTTCTCCAGAGTTGCCCCAAAAGACTGCCCCTTGAGCAGTAGGGCTAAGCGTGACAGAATCTCTCTCTCCAACTCCTTTTGGGTCGCAGCAAATTCCACTCCCTGGTAAAACTTTGCCTGGAGCAACACATACCACCAGCAGAGCATTCTCAGCTTATCGTTATTCTGCTGCGGAACTTTCTTTTCCCAAGCAGAAATGATCTTCTTGAACTCGGTCTCAAGATTGCCCTTCGCCAGAGCATGAGGATTTTCAGTTGTGAGCGCACGGTACAGATGGTAGATCGCATCAAGATGATTTTGTTCGGACAAGGCGATCACGGACATCTGGCTGTGGGCTGCGCCATCGGTGGGACGGAGGTCGTTTGCCAAGGCGTAGTAGCCCATTGCTGGCTCCCAGCTCCGATCCTTGGTTCTGAAGCTATTTCTCCACCGGGATAGGTCACCAAGATGCAGAAGGGTTGCGTGGCAAGAGAGCTCAATGAGTGGCCTAATGTCCGGAGAAACTTTGACTCGTTGGTCGGCCGTTAAGGTGCTGAGAGATAAGCGGCTCGCGATTCTGTACAGGTTTTCCAGTCCATCGAAATGTGAGGCCAGTCGTTGAATGTAGCCCTTGTAGAAATACTGGCTAGTCTTGATAAAATCGGCATAGTGCTTCGCGGTGGCTCGACGTTCAACGTGGGTTTTATTCGCTTTCTTGGAGTGCTCCATAACTTTTCGGTACCGGTTGTTGATCATGGTGTGTACACTCCAGAGGCGTTGTTCTACTTCTACAGATGTAGCGAAACTGAAGTCTGCGAATTGGACAGCCTCGCAGGCAGTGCGCAGCCTTGGCCGGTCAACAGAGGAGGGTCGAGGGAGGGAACTGTACTTACTCGACCATGCCATTGTCGATCTCCTTGTAAGTGGGATCTCGATTCTTCATCAAACCCTTGATTTGTGCCTCTAACTGTTGGACGAGCCTATATAAACTATGTGTTAGCCTCGTCACCACATACTACCGGTAGATGCTCTCTGTGGGGGGGGGGGGAGAGGGGGAACACTGACGCCCAGCTTTGCGCCGCTGGAGAGGAATCCATGGTTGGGTTTGGGTTTGTGTGGTTTGGGTCTGTGATTGTGATCGCAGGTATGCTAGGGCCCACGATCTTTCTTGAGGTTAGATTTGCGCGTGATGGTCCGCAAATCGAGGAGGGAGGTCGCAATCCATAGGTAGAGGTTCGGGCGGAAGGTGAACGGCTTTTTGTACTGCTCTGCGCGCTAATGGCTAGTTCAGATCAAAATAGAATGGCAGCTAGCGGCAGGGCCAGTGTTTGAATGGATGAATGGATGAATGGATGAATGAATGAACGAGGCAGCAAGACGAGACCTAGGTAACAAAGGCCGGTCGTTGTGGAAAGGTGAATGAATGCTTTATGCTTCCTCAATATCAGGCGCTCGGGGAAGTGGCAGAATACACGTGACCGTTGTAATTATTTACCAAATACTTTCCCTGGCGCGGAAGCTTTATTGGCAAGGCGGTGAGATAGCCATGGCTTGGCAGTACGAGGCTGAGGCTGAGGCTGAGGCTGAGGCTGAGGCCGAGGCCGAGGCCGATTACCATTTCTTACTCTACACACTCGACATTTCCACGTTGATGCTTCTCCTGGATTCTACTTATATCTTACTTCTGACCGACACCTCGAATACTTGCATAGTAAGGTACCAGTTGCGAGAGGAGAACAAGGCACAGATCAGACGGACCCAAAGTATTTACCCCACGTTCATTCTACTGCAACTACAAACAAACATGGCCAAGCGCTCACGAGAAGACTTTGAGCCGTCCTCCTCTCCCGAGCTGGAGTCCGAGTCTGTAGGAGAAACTCCAGCTACTGCTCGATTAGTCGTTCATCCTAGCACGATCCAGATCCCTTGCTCGACTTCAAAATTCGTCCACCTCGACCTTGAAATTAGCGGTGAAGCTCCTATAGAAATGCGATGTTCTCTCCCACCACATCGCGGAGTTTTGACTTTTGCTTCTTATGATGAATACGATGTTCATTATGCTCAAACGCATACCAATCGATGCCTCGAGTGCAGGAAGAATTTCCCTACAGAGCACTTTCTGACTCTCCACATCGAGGAAAACCACGATGCCATGACCAGTTTGTTGAGAGAGCGAGGCGAGAAGACTGTCTGTACCACCCAATTTTATACAAAATTCCCTGCAATTTCTAATTGCCTCTAGTACTCTTGCTTTGTTGAAGACTGCGACCGCAAATGCTCAACTCCACAGAAGAGACGCATGCATCTGGTGGACAAGCACATGTTTCCCAAAGACTATGACTTCTACGTAGTGAACGATGGGATCGATCGTAGGAGTTCCATGCTGCGGTCGGGGAAGAACCGCAGACGAAGCTCAACAGCCCAACACCTCATGGAAATCGAAGAAAGAAACAGACGCCGAAGCCCTACTCTGCGAAGCACCGAGGAGACCGACGGAAGTGGGCCCGAGAGAAAAGAGACATCCGAGATGCCTCTCAGTCCTCCCAGTTCCAAGGAGAACACAGATATGGATTGCTTGTCGGGTGCCATGTCCGCTCTGAAGTTTGTGCCTCCGAGTGTCAGATTCGGCCGTGGTCGAGGACGAGGGCGAGGTGGATTCAGTAGGAGTTGAGGAATTCATGATTTACGATTAATGGAACGACTCACGAGGTGATGGGTAAACCTGTCACATTTTCAGCGTATGCAACAGTTGTATCTGTAATTTCGCTGTGGAGACTAGGGCAAAGAGAAAGTTCACCGAGTTTTGAAATCTTACATGACTTCGAAGGGAAGCCCTGGCTTTCACCACGATTATCCGATGATTCGACGTCCAAGTGGGTTGTTCACATTGGTCTGGGTTATCACGGGCACGATACAGACTTACCATACTGCAAGAGCAAGTGCTTGTCGAACGAAGCCTTTTATTTGGGTATCTGTCTGCACAAGCCTTCTAACCTCAATACTCCTCAACTCCAGCCATTAACGATGTCCTTAGATATGTACGCTAGAAAATACCCATACGGGCTCCCCACCCATTATCCCTAGGATTAATCACAATCTGGTACGGGAACGGGTTTGACTCGCTGGTCGTAATTGGTGGAATGTGGTCTTTCTCTCTGTTCACCGTTGTCACGATCTTCATGGCAGCTTTGAGAAGCATGGCTTCCATTGCTTTCCTGACCTTCGCGCGCTCTTCAGATTCCTACTATTAGCATTTTCGATATTATCGGAAATTTACAGCAGTCAGTACATACCACTTTCGGTCCTCGGGGTAGCAAGTGTAACATCCAGCGTCCACTGTTCCCAGCAAACCTCCTCCTCCCCTTTCGTAAACCAAGCCTTCCTCCTCTTCTTCTCGAAAAACTGCACTGCCATCAAGCCCCTCACGCCGGTGCTCCTCACCCCCATATCGGAACTCGTGTCCAGCTGCCGCACCAGCGTCGCAGTCCTCTGGTCGATCAACGTCTCCAGCTCAACATCCTCCACGAACGGCAGGGTCAGGTCCAGAATATCCCTCGTTGTCGGCCTCAAAGAAGGAAAGAATCTATGAAAAAAGATCGTGTGGAGAATACCTACGGGTTGCGAGTGTCAGCCTGGAAAACCCTCCCTCCCTTCCGTCGACCCATTCCGCGCAGAAGTAAAGCGAGCGAAGTGAAAGGGGAAATGCTAATTTACCCCGGACAACGTCTTTGACGGACGACGGGTCTGCGAACACCTCGATAATATATTCCGGGGGTCTGCGCTGCTCCATTATTCGCGGGGGTCTGGATTATGGAAGCGTGGTGGACTGAGGTGGGAAAGAAATGGAGGCTTCGCGGTGATGAAGGATGGTCATGGAGGGGTAGTTGCTGTTTCATGACAAAGGCGGTGTCCACACCGACCTCGGCTTCGTCGCGCTCAACAAACATATTCTGGAAATCTCCTCGAGTCACTACAGAGAGACCTTGACATCAAGTCCCGTTGCGAGTCTCTTTCCCTCTTCTCAGCATCAACGAAAGTCATGTTTTCTGCTACAAGGAACTGGCTGAAGAGGAATAGGGCGCCGTTCGCAATTGGATTTGGCGTCATTGGGGTAGGCTATGTGGCTACGCAATATGTGTTGGGGAAGTTCTCAGAGGTGCGGGAGCGCATGAGCAGTGATCGCATAGCTCGAGAGAAGTACATCTCTCTTTCTCTCTCCTTCACTTTTTGCGTCAAAACTAACAATATGCCAGCCTGCGCCGGAGATTCGAGCAGAACCAAGAGGACTGCACCTTCACGGTGCTAGCTTTGCTGCCCACGGCGACGGATAACATTATGGGAGAGCTGCAGACGGAGAGAATAACCTTTGAGTTGCAGCAGCAGAAGGCTGCCAAGCTGGCGAGGTCTGGGGATGGGCAGCCTTCTGAGTTTGGGTCAGCGCCGCCGAGTGTGACAGATGATGATGGAAGAAGTATGGCGAGTATCCACAGCGAGAGTGGTATGCACATCAGTCAGTTGGGTATACCTAGCGCGAATGCGGCTGGCGAGACGTCGCAGGATGGCGGACAACCAGTGCAGAAAGCGAGAAAATCGAAGCTCCAATTGTGGAATGAGTTGAAGATTAGTGGTATGTTCAGCAGCAAAGGCTGGAGAGCTATGCTAATATTTCGCAGCAATCACTCGATCTTTTACACTGATCTATACCCTGGCTTTGCTAACACTACTCACTCGGATACAACTCAACCTCCTCGGTCGAAGAAGTTACCTATCTAGCGTGGTGTCTTTGGCTACGGGGGGAATGGAGCAGTCAGCTATCAGTTTAGAGAACAACGATGACGATAACTCAGATCAGGCTTACGGGAACGACTTTGAGACAAATAGGCGATACCTCACATTTAGTTGGTGGCTACTGCATCGAGGATGGAGAGAAATCATGCTGAAAGTGGAGCTGGCAGTGAAAGAGGTATTCGGATCCATGAATCTTAGAGAAGATGTTTCTATGCAGAGATTCTCTGAGCTCACATTGGAGGTCCGCAAGAAGGTCGAAGGAGCTACGGAAAGAGAGAGAAAGGAAGGGAATTGGCTGCAATATCTGCTTCCACCAAGAGATCAAGAAGAATTGGTGCTCAAAGAGTCAGGGATGACAACCGAATCAACCGCATCGTCGGAATCGATCTCAGCAGCGGGCCCTCTTCGACGCCTCTTGGATGAAACCTCAGACTTGATCGACTCGCCACCGTTCTCTCATGTCTTAACCCTACTACTCGACGCTGGCTACTCGACTTTAGTCGATCAAAAGGTTGCTCAACAGGTTTTTAAGATGCCTGTCATACCTGAAGTTCCTGATCTTGACGGGCCTCGAGTCACAGAAGTCTTCGACACCACGCCTGTCAAACTACCGATTCTTCTCGCAACTTTGACCAGACAGGCACATTCTATTGGTAACGGAGTACCGAACGAGTACCTTCAATCTATGGAGCAGGTGAGAGACCTGGAAGCGTTTGCGGCAGTTGTTTACTCCAGCAACTGGGAGAATGAGATCAGCCCGATGAACGACCCGGAGAGCAGCACTGTCATTGTAGAGAAGGACGGACTAGCTGGACCAGCAGGACAAGCAAATATCCGGGCTGCGGAGGCTGCAGGACAGGAAAGCATTGTAGACTTAGGGACGGCAAGCACGTTCGAAAATGCATGGGGGAAGGCCGTTGATGGTGAGAAAGGCACTGTGGTGTAAAATATGAGTCTTGGCGTAGTTACAGATGTATGGAATACGGAACGATAAACTGTAGGCAGTGGAGGCAAAGCTCGGGGAACGAAAGGGCAATCAATCAAGTGGGATGTTGCAAGAAATGTAAGATACCGGGAGAGAGTAATGGATTAACATTTTAGAACCTGGATCTGTAGTAGACTTCTAACTCCTGCTACTCCGGTAACGCCTCAAATATTGGTAGCCTCCCTGAGCAAGAACGAACCGCGTCTGAGCGAAAACGCATCTCATATTGCCCGTACATCATCCAGCCTCCTCAGCTTGTTAGAGCACCCCCTTTACGAACTGGTCCAGAGCCAGCTCGAACAACTCGTTCGCAACTCCCACACCCCCAGGATGCTCAACTGGACTTAACGGGTTCTTAACCACTACATACAACAGTCAGCCATTTTCTCTTCCCCTACCTCTTGATGAAACCACCACAACTCACCAAACTCCACATAAAGATTGACGTAAATTTGGTGCAGCACATTCCGCATATTCAACGTCTGTGTATCTGTCAACATCACAAACTTGATGCTCGTTGGCGTCTCGTAGTAATGCAGCTTATACTGGCCCGTCCGATACGAGATGAAGCTGTCGTCCTGGCCCCCTAACTTGCGCACCATGTTGCGCAGCGAGAAGATCGTGCCGAAGATGAGTTTGGCATCATCCTGCGCCGAGAGACGGGGAGGGCGTGCCCGCGCTGGTCCATGGTCGGGGGCGAGGGCTGTGGTGGTGTTGTTGGAGTTGGTGCTCGATGTCGAGATAGGGCGGTCGGACTGTTGACGGGCCCAGAGTCGGGAGTAGATACATTCCGCTGGCTGTGTTAGCCGCGATATCCAGGAGTGGTGGCTAAGGGGAAAATTGTACTATGCCGGTCGAATATGTAGAAGCTGTAGACCACCATTGTGCTTGTGTTGACCTTACACCTTCCCAGCTCCCTACTCAAACTAAACGAGAGGGCTAGGGGCGGCCCCGGGGACGACACATGGGAAGAAGGCTGGAAGCAAGCTTTCGCCAAGATCTTGGAGCCCCGCGAATCCCAATCAGGATGACTGATGGGATCCGACTCTCTTTTCTCTCAACACACGCTTCTGGCTTCAAGCTATTGTCGAGTAGGAAGGATGCACTAGCCTGACTATCCATCAACCCACCTGGAGCGCTTCCTCGTCATGAATAACACCGTGGAAGGATGTGAGCCCTCAAGCCACCCGGGCGACATCTCAGCAAAGGAATTTGCGGTTGGCATTCTGCCTTCACATGGTAATGTTCCGCCCTCCGTGCTTCGAGGCAGAGCTTGACAGAGCGCAACTCTAATAAAAAGGGGGTGGATAGGCATATCTTTGGACGTGCCCGGAGACCCAGAGCTGCAACGATCGCATTTGAGCAAGCACCTGTGAGCGTTACTTTTTCGCTTGAGGTGGTCGGGATGGAGGGGTAATTGTGTGCTGATGGATGCGAATAGCTCCACGCCTGCGTACCAGAGTCCGCTGAGACACCACCGCCGCACGCCCTCGCAGCATCGCGAGGTCAAGGAGACTTTGAACGCCAGAAGCGCCTACACGAATAATCAAGATGACGGCAAGGCTGAGCACCACATCAACCAGTACATTATCAAAGATGAGATTGGACGCGGCTCGTTTGGCGCGGTGCACTTGGCTGTTGATCAGTATGGCACGGAATATGTGGGCATCATCAGGAGACCGATTACTATCGCGGAAGAGGCTGATAACCCGATCAGGCTGTCAAGGAGTTCTCGAAGTCTCGTCTGCGAAAACGAGCCCAGTCCAATATTCTCCGAAGCCCACATGGACCTCGACGACCCGGACATCTAGCTGCGAGTGGTGGACTCAATTCGCCTCTACATCGACACTCGGCATCGGACATTCATAAATACCAGGAAGCAGGAAACCCGTTGTACTTGATCAAGGAGGAGATTGCTATCATGAAGAAGTTGAACCATCCTAACCTGGTGTCGCTTATTGAAGTGCTGGACGATCCCGAGGAAGACTCATTGTACATGGTCTTGGAGATGTGCAAGAAAGGTGTGGTCATGAAAGTCGGACTGAACGAGAAGGCAGACCCGTATGACACTGAGAGGTGTAGGCTTTGGTTCAGAGATCTGATATTGGGAATCGAGTACCGTAAGCGACATCGCCCCTTTTCGGCTCGCTTATTGACACAGTTGAAGTTCACGCCCAAGGTGTTGTGCATCGGGATATCAAGCCTGACAATTTACTCCTGACCGAAGACAATGTCCTCAAGATCGTTGACTTTGGTGTATCTGAGATGTTCGAAAAAGCCTCAGATATGATGACTGCCAAGTCCGCCGGATCGCCTGCTTTCTTACCGCCGGAGCTTTGCGTGACCAAGCACGGAGATGTCTCTGGGAAAGCTGCGGATATCTGGTCTATGGGTGTATCCTTATACTGTCTAAGATTCGGATGCATACCCTTCGAGCGGCCTGGAGTTCTGGAATTATACAACGCCATTCGGAACGATAACCTAGAGATCCATGAGACTGACTCGGAGTTCTGTGATCTGATAAGAAAGATGCTTGAGAAGGATCCCAAGAAGAGGATAACGATGCCGGAGATTCGAGTATGACCACCATATTACTGTATCTTCTTGAAGCTAATGGGTAGCAGGCACATCCGTGGGTGACCAAAAACGGTGCAGATCCATTACTATCTGAAGAGGAGAACACCTCGGAATTAGTTGAACCGCCAAGCGCGATCGAGGTCAATCATGCCATCACAGCAAGAATGAGGAATCTCCTTGTTATGGTACAGCCCATCTCATATCTTCTCCCACTGACGTGTACTAAATGCCCACAGATGAAAGCAGTCAAAAAGTTCAAGACACTGGTAGAAAAGCGGAGACCTTCTGCTCTGTCTGGTGCTCTAGGGAGAGGACTCGGTGCTATCCACTCTTCCTTGAGTTTAAGTGTCGATGGAGAATCCGAGAGAGCGGGAATGGGTTCTCATAAATCCAAAAGCTCAATCTTCGATGATCGAAGACACCCGAAGACTGTTCTAGCCACTGAAGGGGTCCATTACACGCCTACTCAAGTCCCGAGCCTCCGACCAAGAGCCGGTAGCGCTGTCTCAGGCGGCTCTCCAAACGACACTTGCAAGTCAATTCCCACCATGGTGTCCAAATCATCACCCCCGATCCTCGCCAAAGAGGACTCGGGCGAGAAAGGCCACGCACACGACCCCCTCGAAGAAGAACCGCTCTTCCTTGGCATTGGCGCGGGCGGCCACGAGGCTCTCGACGCTTCTCTGCAGAGCATCATTGCAGAGTCCCCCACGTCCGCCGAGTCTAACATCTACGAGAAAGCTTACCAAGAGGAAGTTGATCGCATCCGTAGCGCGCGGGGCCACACTGCTACCATCTACCTCACCCGCCGGGTTGAATCGAAGAAAGAGTACAAGGCTGACGAGAACATGGTGGATGCGCCGCACCCAAGTGAAGTTGCAGGTGCCACGCAGGGTTTTCGAGACTTTCTGGATAAGGCGAGGAAGAAGAAAGCCGAGCCTGAGAATAAGGAGGGGCTTGTTGTGGGCGGCAATCGGTTTGCGGATATTGCGTCGAAGGCAGTTGAAAATACTCGGATCTTGGGGAGAGAGTTGAGCGACAGGAGTGGTGGGTTGGTGGATAGTGTGTTGGCCAAGGCAGTGGAGAAGAGAGCTGAGCAGAAGGAGGCGAGAGGAGGGAGCGGTACGGCGGTTGTGGGTGGCCGATGGGGAAGTGGACAGGAGTGAGTGGCTCCTCTTCTGCATGGACTGTTCTTCGTTGGGTTCGGCGCGGGAGGACACCCCGCGGGCTTGAATGGCTTGGATTTGGTCCGAGCTCCAAACGGGACGGATGGGATACGGACTGGACTACCCCTTGTGCTGCGTTGGTGGCTTAAGTGGCGCCATGGGAGTTTTGATGGACTTTTCTATCTCGGCGTGCGAAAATACGATGGGTATGGGATCAAGTGTCGAGCTGAAGTTGAAAACTATGTATAGCTGGCACGTGAGGCAAGTCTTTGATAGTGTGCATGTGCATTTTCAGAACAGTTGACTTGTGTCGATGTTGTGTTTGGGCTTGGACAGAGGGGGAGGGAGCCTCGAGTGGGGTCAATATAATCATGATACGAATCATATCAAGTAGGGTACGGGATTTTGCAACATTTGAATGGAGTTGTTGTCGGTACCTACCGTAGTCGAGCTTGATGAGTAACGAAGATCCATGTCCCGACTTTGGCTTTGGGGTTGTTACCGTACTCCTCGCTCGGCGAGTTCTTCGGTGGTTGCAGTCACCATGGCCTGCCTCGCAGGGAAACCCGGGAAGCGAGGAGGGCTGGTAGGTACTTACCGGCGGCCGATAAGCTTTTGCTCTTTCCGTGCTTGGGGGGGGGGGGGCGGGGAGCCATGAGGGGAGAGCCCAGTGCTTGCAACGTCGGTAACTTAGTTGTACCGTACTTGATATGATAGAGTAGGTAATGCCCGCTGCTGAGTAAGGTCCCAAGTCCTCGGCCTCGGACCGGCGGAAGGAGACGGACGAGAGGATTCTGCGGGTGTCGGACAGCGTGCCCGCGAGCAGGCTGTCTAGGTAGGTAGCTGTCAGGCTGTCCAGCTGTCCGTACGCCGACGGGCGCGTGACACGATTGCGTGGAAGGGACAGGAATGGTGCCACCACGAGCGGAGCTGAGCTGAGCTGCGCTGAGCTGAGCTGAGCTGAGCTGCGCTGGGCTGGGCTGGGCTGGGCTGGGCTGGGCTGAGCTGGGCGGCGCACAACAGATACGGTAACCGTACACCGTTCTTGAGGATGGCGTGCAGAAGGAAGAGCTCGGTGACTTGCCAAGGCAGGCAGAAGAGAGTTACGGTAGGTGGGACGGAGGAAAGGATCGGGGCGTACGCGGTGTGTACAACCAAGTACGAGGGAGATACCGGTACGGTCGCAATGGGATAAGCATTTCCCCATGGAATCATGGATGATTCTGATATGATTTACGGAGCCATCCATCCTGCAGGAGTGACGAGGGGAGACAATGTTCGCCTCGTCCATCAGCCATGCGGGGGGTTCTGGCTGTTTGTTCCCTTCTGGCTTTGTTACCGTGGTTTGCAACCCACGCACACTCACTGACTGACTACTGACTGACTGACTGACTGACTGACTGACTGACTGACTGACTGACTGCACTTGACCCGAGCGGTGAATTGAGGGGACCTCCCACCAGGGATCGGCTCCTACTGGGCTGAGAAGGCGAGAAGGGGGAAGGTGAGAAGGTGAGAAGGTGAGGTGGTGAGCAGGTAAGAAGAGCAGGTCCAAGGTCCAAGGAGGACACTGGAAAACCCTCATGTAGATAAGTAATAGACCTGGCATTACAAGACCTGGCATTTGCACAGCCTCATGTACATGGACGGAGGAGGAGTACCGGTATCCAGAGTAGAGGAGAGTAGAGTAGAGTCGAGTAGAGGAGAGTAGAGTCGAGTAGAGTACCGTAGAGTACCGTCCCGTACCGGTAGTATCCATCCATATCCATTTATCCATCCTAAGCGAGACACCGACGGAGATCTGAGCCAGCCATGTCGCTGTCAAGCAATGCCGGTACCTACTCTACCGCCGGGAAAAGGGACGGCGAAGAGAGTTCGCCGTCGCAGCAGCAACAAGGATGGCTCACCTACCGGTATATCCTACGACAGTATGTTCCAGGATACCTTGAACCACCAGTAGCCAGCCGGCTTCTACTGACCACCATGGAAACGAGGAGTTTTATAGAAAACATGCGCAGTCCGCTTTCTGTCTTGAAACGCGACTCTATCATAAACGTAGGCCGGCTGATGGATTGATGGATGGATTGATGGATTGATGGATTGACTGACTGACTGACTGATTGACTGACTGACTGATTGACTGACTGATTGACTGATTGACTGACTGGTAAGAGTTTCCCAGCAGCGCATCCTTACCCACTGCGCGGCGACTGCTGCAACCTTTTTATCCGCAGCAGTCGCAGCTGATTGAGGCACATAGCGACATCTCCAATTTCTTGTCTGGCCAGGCATGGGCAGTGAGTGCCATTGCGGTGCCTTTGCAACTCTTTTACTCCGGCACCTGCCCTCGCCTCGCCTCGCCTCGCCTCGCCCGCCTCGCCCACTTCTTCCCATTCCCTTGTGCGCTCTAGTCCCGTAGCCAACTGTCCTTCTGTCATTCACTGATCTCATGTATCCATATGTTCATTCGTTGATTCATCGATCCATCGACCCATTGATCCATTGATCCGTTGATCCATCCATTCATGTCCGCTCCGTAAATCCCTCACCACCACCGACCACCAGCACCAGCACCAGCACCAGCACCAGCATCAGCACCAGCCAGCACCACCGCCACGACCAGCACCACGACCACCACCACCAACAAAAACACACGCCTTTCCTCTTCGAAATAAAGGCCCTCGAACTCGCACTCGAACTCGCACTCGCACTCGCACTCGCACTGCCCACGGCCCACGGCCCACGGCCCACGGCTTTTGCAACTTTCCCCCCCCTCCGCCCGCCCAAAAGGCTAGCTAGCTAGCTAGGTAGCCAGCCAACCAACAAGCAATACGGCAGTCCAGCCCCCCAGCTATTACATACCTTACCTACCATACCGACTGCCCTACTGCCTACTGCCTACTGCCCTACTGCCCTACTGCCTACTGCCTACTGCCTACTGCCTACTGCCTACTGCCTACTGCCCTATTGTCTTACTGCCCTACTGGCTCTCGAAAAAGTATTTCCCTCTTCCCACCTCCTTCACACATCGCAACAACTTCACTTCGATCCGTGCGACGCTCTTCAGCTCGGAAAGGCTCCCAAAGAGGACGAGTCTCGCCCGCACCGCGTGGCCTTCCTCCCACGCTCTCCGCCTCTCACCTCCCATCATCCACCACCCACCCACCCCTAGTCGATTCGATTCGATCGGGCGCAGAATCCAATCCCCCCTCGCCCCTCCATACCGAGGAGGCAACAGCTGAACCAAAACACACACCCCACACACGCACACACACGCACAAACAAGAAGGGGGAAGAAGGGACATGGCCACCTTCACCAGGCCGAGAGACCAGTTCGCCGCTGAGAAAGCTCATTCTTCTCCTGGAGCTTCGCAGACGTCATCAGCAGCTGGCTCTCCAGAATTCCCGCCCGTCAGACAGAATGGCATTGCTGCTGTTCCTAGCACCGAGAACCTCAATGGGAACGGCCATGCTGCGCCACCAGCCGAGCCACATAAATCCACTCTCGCGCAGCAGCCAGAAAAGCCCTCAATGACAAAGCGACTCACTCGCATGTTCTCAACAAAAGATTCCTTGCGCTCAGAGCTCAGCATAACTTCCCAACCCGCGACCAACGGCACTTCTTCCAAAACCGACTTGGTTGCGACCTCGCAAAAACCCAAGCCTCCTTCCCGGCAGTCGTCTTCGACCGACAAAGGAACTAGCAAGACCGAAAAGCCCGAGAAGCCCACGACGGCGCCAGCAAAGGACAAGAAGGCGGCGGGGACGGCCTCTGCGCACCAGAGGTACATCCCCAATGCCGACCTCAAGGGTGGCCATGAGCACCACCTCAAGAGCGCGAAGAGGCAAGAGAAGTTGTCGGACATGCTCCGGAATGTGATCAGTGGCAAGACCAAGGCTCCAGAGCATGTACAGGAAGGGGAACAGCAACTGTCCCTCATGTCAAGCTGGGTGGATCAACTCAAGAGCGAACGCGAAAGCCTGGCCTCCGAGAAGAAGGGAGGCCCCAACGCGACCACTTCTTTGGTGGAGAAATACGGCAAGTGCCAGGAGATCGTCGGACGCGGCGCCTTTGGCATTGTGCGGATATCCCACAAGCGCAGTGAAAATGGATCGGGGGAGCAGCTGTACGCGGTGAAGGAATTCCGACGACGCCCCGAGGAGAACGAAAGAAAGTACAGCAAGCGCCTCACATCTGAGTTCTGCATATCGTCTTCGTTACGCCACCCCAACGTGATCCACACCCTCGACCTGCTGCAAGACTCCAAAGGAGACTACTGCGAAGTCATGGAGTTCTGTGCCGGTGGTGACCTCTACACCCTGGTCCTGGCCGCTGGCAAGCTCGAAGCCATGGAAGCCGACTGCTACTTCAAGCAGATGATGCGGGGTGTGGAATACATGCACGAGATGGGAGTTGCACACAGAGATCTGAAGCCTGAGAATCTTCTCCTGACGACTCATGGGTCCCTGAAGATCACCGACTTTGGGAACGGGGAGTGCTTTCGGATGGCCTGGGAATCAGACGCACACATGGTCTCTGGTCTCTGTGGCTCTGCTCCCTACATTGCTCCCGAAGAGTATATCGACAAGGAGTTTGATGCTCGAGCTGTGGATGTCTGGGCTACCGGTGTCATATACATGGCGATGCGCACTGGACGTCATCTGTGGCGCGTCGCCAAGAAGGACGAGGATGAGTTCTACGCACGCTACCTGGAAGGACGCCGAGATGAGGAGGGTTACGCGCCTATCGAGTCCCTCCACCGAGTAAGTTTATCCGTCTGACATGGCCCAAACCTCAAAACTGACCCAGAAAATCAAGGCTCGCTGCCGCAATGTCATCTACTCCATCCTCGACCCTAATCCTTCTCGCCGGATCACAGCCTCTCAGGTTCTCAAGTCCGAATGGGGTCGGGAGATCAAACTCTGCAAGGCTGGTGAAGAGGGTCTCTGACAATATGCGCTTGACCGTGGATTCCAACAGCCGAAGACGCTCTTCTCGACTCTACCCAGAGAGACCAATTTCGCTGTGCGCCTCCCTCCTTGTCCGGAAGTTAGACAAGAGGGCTCGCATACGTTCTACGCTCACAAAAACTGCAGTTGCGGGGTGGGCATTTCGAATACACTTGTAGTAGCGACGGGCAGGAGATCAACAGTGAGAAGGCCAGTTTGAGCAGGCTTGGGTTTGACGGATCAGGCTGGGACATAGGGACTTGCATGGGGTCTGCTTGGATTTTGGAGCGTTGGTGTTTGTGGCGTTTTCCCCCCGCCTTTTGCTCTCCTGGTACCTGGGTGGTTGTTTTATTCAATTGTTTGCTACGGACGGGCGTATGGCGCACCGGGCGGGATTCAGCAAATCAAAGGACTCGATGAAATCGGAACTGGTTCCTTGACTCCACACAAAGAAAGCATGGGGGAAAGGCAAAAACTCAGTCCCCGGGGTGGGGAAACACAGCCTGGCAGTCACCTAGGAGGCTTTTTTTCCCTTCTTCTCTTGTATCTCTCTCAGCGTTGATTGTTGCCTCTACTTTTTTTTTTAGCAGCTAGCTAGCGAGCAAGCAAGCAAGCAAGCGTTTCTTCTTCCGTTTGGCAGTTTTTCGCGCATGGTGGTTGTTGCTGAGAGAGAGAGCACTTGGACCTGTGTGTGTGTGTGCGTGTGTGTGTGGCATTGGAGTGGGTGAGTGGGTGGGTTGGTGGGTTAGGTGAGATGGAAAGGACTTTGACGATTGAAGAGATTGATTGATTAGACGGACAGTAAGGAGGATAGGTAGGTAGGGGGGGAGGGGGTTTGGAAAAATCGAGAGAAGTGGAATATGTGTAGATATGAGTGCGAAGGACGGGAGCTGTGCGTGGACAGGACAGGATAGGATAGGATAGGATAGGTAGGATAGGATAGGATAGGATAGGATAGGGAATGTGTGGATGTGGATGTGGTGGTGGGGGGGGTAGTAGGATGCGTCGAGCAGAAACCTTGATCTGCAATCAATTGCAATCAAGAAAGTACCATGTGTAGTCCTGTGATTGCGTCCTGTGATGACTTAACGATGACGGTAATGATGATGAGGGCGAGAGATCGGTCCGGCCTTCTCTTTCCGTCTCCCTCTCCCTCTCCCTTTCCCTTTTGAGCATTCGTTATCACGTCAAGTCATCAACGACTTGGGACGGATAGATAGATCGATAGATAGATTCGTCTCCCGCACAGACAAGATCTCCGCAACTCTTCGACCGGAGACTAGCTATACAAGTAGGTACGTACGTACGTACGTCCTCTCCTGACTGACGGACGACTTGCGATCCGATACCTATATCAGTCAGGGGTTCGGTTCGGAGGCTGGATGGATGGATGGATGGATGGATGGTGGATGGTGGATATTATATGGGTACCGTCACATGTATCCCGTTCCTTTTATCGGCTGGGTTATTTGATTGTATGTGTGTGTATGTGTGTGTGTATGTGTATGTGTGTGTGTATATGTAGCAGTTCTTTTCTCTCTCGTCGTCTATCTATGGTAGGTATGCTTAAGTGATTGATTGTCTTGTCTATATAAATAAACAAGCAAAACAAATAAACATGTAGGCAGGTAAACAAGTAAACAAGCAAATGAACGGGTATTTTGGCGAAAGAAGAAAAGGGATAGGAAGTCTTTGGTTCTTGGTTTTTCCGGTTCGACCGCTTTCTTGTTGGGGATGGAGGGTGTAGTTGAATAGATAGCTAGCACTTGGTTTTCTATAATCGTTTATGCTTGATTGGTTGTTTTGTATAAGGAGCAAACAAACGAACAGATAGTTTAGCAAAAGAGGAAAAGGGATAGAATCTCCTTCGTTTCGTCTTTTTTCCGCTTCGTCTTTTTTCCGTTTCGTCTTCTTTCTTGTTGAGGATGATACGTATAGTTGAATATATATAGCACTTCTTTCTTTATATAATCGTTTATGCTTAATTGATTGTTTTATATAACTAGCAAACAAACAGGTAGTTTAGCAAAAGAGGGAAAGGGATAGAAACTTTTCCGTTTCGTCTTTGTTTCCGCTTCATCCTCTTTCCTATGAAAAATGATACGTATAGTTAAATATATATGTGTTTATATTTATGCATCTATACATATATAGTATGCACCTATGTATAAATATATATATATGCATAAATATAAATAACTCTCACATCGATATATAAATATAAACAATCCTCCTACCGAATCCACCGACTAGGCACAATATGCCTTTTCCTGGTTGACATATATTAAAGAACGAGCCCCAAACCAAACAAACGATCTAAAAAAAAAAAAAAAAAAAAAAAAGGAAACAGGAGCACCGCGTTTCAAAGGATTTGATAATTTAGATAAACACTATATACTTACTATATTAGCGCAAGCATAGCCAGAGCAAAGCAAAGCAAAGCAACCCCCACCCCCTCACCAGCCCCGAAACCATCCTAATAAAATATCCCCAGCGTTTCGGATGTTGCGAATATAGATGGAGAGATGGTATTCCGGGGATGTAACGTAACGTAACGTAAGGTAACGGAACGAGAAATGCAAGGAGAGACCTACACCCCGCCCGCACTTACATAGGTGTAGTTTTAATTATAGGATAGACAAAACCACTTGGGCTTGCGTGCTGTGACTAGGTAGGTAACCCCTAACCCGTGAAAATCCCTAGAAAATCCCTAAACTGTAAAGATCCCTATACCGTAAAAATCCCTAAACCGTAAAAGTTCCTAACCCGTAAAAATCCCTAAACTGTAAAAATCCCTAAACCGTAAAACCTTCAAAACCCGTAGAGTCCTCAAAACCCTCAAACCCTCGAAACCCTTAGCCCGTAAAACCCCTAACCCGTAAAACA